TTTAACAGCTTAAAGAGTTGTTAACATGCTGGAATTCATTATTCTTAACTCGAAGATGTATTCATTAAAAAAAATTCCCGTGCAATATAAAAGTTAATTTATAATTCAAACCTCATTGTATACCTTTTAATTTCGGATATATTTTTTTTAATAAATAAATGATAAAATTAATTTAAAATAATTGAGCGAAATTACTGTATGTAAAAATAACAAAGTGTACAGACATAAAACAAAATAAATTCAAATCACTTGCGTACGTTTATCACTTGTAAACAGTAGGAAAGGATATACATTTTGTTGGTGTCGCCCTCTAGACGAAAAAGCTTTTAACGTATTTTTTTAATTTTTATTGAGAAAAATAAATGTTCCTGTAAAAATTAAAAACATATATTGTTCTCTTCTAGCATTTTTATTTGTATTTTTTTTTTTTTTTTTTTTCGATAGAAAGATACCTTCTTACATTTTCTCAAAATAAACCGATTCAAATGTTCAAAAAGTGACTCCTTTACCTGTACTTACATCATTTTTCAAAAAATAAAAAATAATCCGTAAAATTGGTGTACTATGAAACCCATTGCATATTATATAAATATGTCTATTAGTATTACAGAAATGATTTACGTAAAACAATAAGGTGTACCTACAAATACGTAAACTTTAATTATCCCTCGTAAAACATCAGTAAAATATTTTGTAAATTGTTTTCATTCACAAATATTAATTTCTTAAAAATATAACAGTGGCGCCACTTGCCAGACGAAAAATCTTGCAATGTAAGGGTTTCGTAGTACCCCACTTTTAAAGTTTATTTTTAAGTATTTTTAAAAGAAAGAAATATGTACGTGTAGATAAAGGTGAAATCTATGCTCTTCTGGAACCACTTTTTCAAAATTCAATTTAGTTTTTTCTAAAAAAAATTAAGAAAATGGATCAAAAAAGTCGAGTTTTGTGTTTTTTTTTAGAAAAAACAAATTGATATTTTGAAAAAGTGTTTCCAGAGGAGCACAGATTTAACCTTTACCTACACGCACATATTTTTCTCTTTTAAAATATGTTAAAAATAAACTTTAAAAGTGGGGTACTACGAAACCCTTGCATGCTCTGCTCTAAAGACAAGTAAATACTCCTCATTCAAAGAATATTTCCTGATTGTAAAAACACGTTAAATTTAACATTTGTTTGACATTTTCAAATATTTATATTTAGGTATCGCAACCGCCGCCCTGGTGATCATTATTTCCCTATTTAACTGGTATTAAATTATAAATATACAAATTTTCAGCCTTATGTTCAACATGTTGCTCAAAATGACCACTCCTAATCTATATATTCGTTTCGAGAATTTTTTTTAGTTTAATAAAATGTAAAAAAGAATTGTCTTACTTAAATACTACTCGACGTTCCTTAAAATCTGGCAATGAAATTTTTCTTATACCTCAAACACGTCCCATGAAAATTAGGGGAAAGTTTGAGTCGACTTTTCCGTGAAAAACTTTGCTTAAAAGAGGAGATGGAGCAAACTGACGCGAAACTTTTCGCTATTTTTCAGAAATATTAAAATAATTGCGTTTTTAAAATTTCTGTATTGGAGGATGACGGAAAATTTAAAATTTTCCAACAATAAAGTGGTTTTTCACCAAATATTTGGCGGGCGCATAATATGCGACTTGGCTTACTAATTACTAGTTGCTTTCTAAACATATGCTTGAATTTCCCTCACAGTGACAAGCTCTACTGTCAGTGCTTCAGGGGTAAATTATTGAGAGATTAATATTATATTTTTATTTTTCCAGGTTATGTTGTTACTCCTAAAATTTTTTCAACCCAGATTTTTAACAAGTGAATGAATGTTTTTTACAAACAAATAACAGTTTTTATTAAAGAGTAGGTACTACGTTAAGGTTTTTTTTTCATCGGGTCGGTGGTGTAGCAATCTAACGTGCTTATATTCATTTATAGGCAAGTTTATAGTCAGAGACTGCCGGGCTTCGAATCTCAGACCAGACCATGTGGATTTTAAAATAAATTGGGTTCGGTATAGGATTTGATGTGTGCCGTATTAATAGAAATTCAATTTCTGTTGATATGACATGCAGATTATAAAATTGCCATGCATTTCCGTCTCGATGATGGTGGGTGAGATTTTCCGGGTTTTCCTCACCTGTAAGTTAAATGGCACCATCAATCATCTTTAAGCCGCCCCGGAGCGCCACGGCAAATAACAATAATAGCCGTCCCTTTCCCCGCACAAGCCCAGCTTTTGGGGTTAAAATTCACTCGTGAGGGGGTGAATTAGGAAAAGTATTATTATTATTATTATTATTATTATTATTATTATTATTATTATTATATTATATATTCTAGTGCAGTCAATAATTATAATAATTTTTAAATGACATTAAAGGACAAATACCAGAAAATTTTAAATTTTAAAATCGTTGAAGCCAAATTATATTTCGAATACAAACGATGTGAAACAAAAAGATGTGGTTTCGCAGGTTTTAAAATTTAATTTTTTGCATTTGTTCCTAAATGTTTTTAAAAAATTATAATTGGGGTGGTTTGGCTTAGTGGTTAAATTCATAACTTTGAGATCGAAAGGTCTCAGGATCGAATCCTATCAGTGCTGGTGGCAGGGATTTTTATTTAATAAAAAAAAACCTAAATAATTCTAATGCGTAGGTAGGATTCCCCACTCTACCATTCACTGTTGGGTTTTAATTAATAGTGCTGTTTCTAAAGTGGCGCTGGGAAACAGTGTGAAAAAGTCTACTCAGAACACTTTATTAATGACCGAAGTAGTTAATGCCAATGACAGCAATAAAAAAAATATATTTATTGACTGTACCAGCAGATTGAAAAAAATCCGAAACATATGTAGTGGTCTTTAAATAAAAACTGTGGCCGATATTACCAAGAAACTTTTATTTCTTCAGAAAATTATCCCGGTCTAAGACATTTGGGCGCGACCGTTTGTGCGCGGCCGTTTGGGCGCGGAAACGTTTGGGCGCGGAGACGTTTGGGCGCGGGGACATTTGGACGCAGGGACATTGATGCGCGAGCTATTTGGGCGCGGGGACATTCGGGCGCGAGGAAATTAAACACATATTATTACGAGTACTATTACTGTTTTATTTTCTAAAATATATACAATTTTATAGAAACTAAATTTTAAGCAGTCATTTTGTAATTGTATGAAATTTTTCTTAAAAATTCAGTAATATTCCTATTATTTGCGCCATGATCATTATTGTAATCTTCAATCATTTTTTCTAATCGTTTATCAGCCTAGATAAATTTTTGTTTTGTAGGTGTAGGCACATTTCCCGCAAGTAAGTGCTTATAAGCAACATCTCTCCCCCGTTGGACAGTTTTCAGGCTGTTTATGTATACCTACAAAACCTCGTAACTAGCATTTTACTAGTAAACTCGTATTAAACCATTTAAGTGTAAGGGGTTAAAGAAAATGTCCTTTATTTCTCACAAGTCAATTTAATTGGCGACCGGTTTCGAAGCTGTCACTTCATCATCAGGCACACCTTGACTATTTCCATAAAGGAAGCGCTACATAACCCCTTACACTTAATCCCTACTACTCACATATGACCATTTAAACAAAAAATCACACCTGAAATATTTTTTCAAGAATAATTAGTATATTATATATTGATGAGGAAGCAATAAAACTTTTAGATTTACAATAAATAATCGAAAATTTTTGATTCTGTTAGCTAATAAAATGTTTTTTGTCTCTCCTGTAAAATAGTGTTTTCTGAGATACGAGGTTACGTCATAGTACCCTCGATATTTGAAGTTTTAACGTTCACTATTCAGAACTGTCAGTGTCAAATACCTAATACTAAAGACGCAAAATAATAAATTATAATTAACTACTGACATTAGTTATCCATCTTTTATAAAAAAAAGTTATTTTGAACGATTTTTCAAAAAAAAAACAAAATTTGACAGGAAACTCAGTAGCCAACTTTGATATGGGCTATTTTAAGTTTTCAGACAAGCAGAGGTGATTGTCCTACGACGTATTTTTCCAATGGTAGTATTAAAAAAAGTCCTATATGGATCCAAATTTATGGCACACACTGTACAACCAGAATTGCTTCAATTAAAACATTCAAATTTAATAAAAATCTAAGAAGCTTTTATATTCTTACTTTAATTTAATATTTCTACTAATTATTTATCTTTTTATTACATTAATTGTAGTAAAAAATACTAATAACTCTTACTGACAAAAAAGCTAATTAAAATACAAATTCGAAAAATATAACCAATTATTTAAAATTCCCGCGCCCAAACAGCTCCGCGCCCAAACGTCCTGCGCCCAGATGGCCGCGCCCAAACGGCCGCGCCCATATGTCCGGCTCCGAAATTATCCTTATTCAAAAATAAATTAAGGTTATTTATAATCTTTTTAACTACTTTTAGTTTTATTTTGACAGATCTTTATTCTTTTAAGAAACTTTGTTTTTGTAATGTTAAACAATATCATTGGCATTTCGTTTATTTTCTCTAGGCCATACATTTCTTCACTGTTTATAAATTCTCACAAGCAAAAAAATACTTGCATCATGTTAGCAAATGGCCAGCCAGTAATAAATCCAGGCGAAGGTCAATCAGCCAGTGGTCGGGAAATAATCTTAAACTAATAATCATTCTAAATTTCGATTAGGATTAAACCATCATTATTGTCTTCTTACTGTTCAGGACCCTTTCTTGAAATTATAAATAATGATATAGAGTGGATTGAAATTTTAAAATTTGTTATAGCTGGAATGAAATTTGTTTTTTTTTAATTTAGTTAATAAAAACACAACTTTTTCCAATATCATTTCCAAAGCTATATGTAAAAAAAATAATTTTTAAATTTCAATGTTTCCATAAAAATACAATAGTTGTTTGTGTGCAATAAAAATGGTTATAATGGCCATATTTACTCTGTATAGACAATAGCGAAAAAACAATAAATGCATTTGTTTTAGGGAGCAATAAAAGTGTACAAATGGCCTCTACCTAAAGACGTAGAAGACAAAACCATCATGGGGTTCGATCCCCAATTCGGACTGTTTCAAGGACTGCCATCCAACGACCCCATAAGAGTTCTAGTACGAGTATATGTAGTCAAAGCCAACGATTTACATCCCATGGATTTAAATGGCAAAGCAGATCCCTATGTGGTTTTGCAGCTGGGTTCTAAGAGGATCAGTGACAAGGAGAATTACATTTCAAAGCAACTGAATCCCGTTTTCGGAAAGTGAGTAGTTTATAATTAATTCCAAGTCTAGTTAGATTAAGTTGTCATTAAATATACAGTGTTACTGAAAAGTTTAATCAAGATATTAGTTAATTAGTAACTATTGCTTCTTCCAATTTAGCAAAATATTAGAAAGCTAATTATGTGTAAATTGGATGCAAATCATCAATTTTATTTAACCAAGAAGTAATTACTTACATAATTTCCCAAATAGGTTTAAAATATGAACTGTGTCTCAGTGGAACTGTTATACAATTCTTTAATAAATGATTCTTGACTCTTTGCGGTCGTAAGTTAAAAATGATATTGAAAAAGAAGCCGCAGACGTAATTGTCATTTGATTACATAAAACGCGCCAGAAAGTTGTCAAAAAAAATTTTCAGGGTGTTTTGTAAAAACACGGGAAACTCTTTAATAGCTATCTATGATACAAAGTCAAATTTTACCCACGATTTTTAACAAATATATCATCATACAATAATATTTCCACGAACCCATTTAAAATTTCAAAAGGTTCAATATACGGGGTAGCGAAAAAGTCTCGCAACAAGTTATTTTCTTTGTAACGAGTGAATGTATAATTATGAAATTGTAGAGTGATGAATGGGACTATCATTATTATTTTTTTTTCCTATATATACAGGGTAGCTAAAAAATCTGAAAACCAGGTATTTTAGGGTGATGAATGGGACTGTATTGCCTTAATATTGTGGTATTTTTTTAGTATCTTTGAAAAGAGAAAGAAATAAGCTTTTCTCTGATATATCACTCGACCTACGTTGTTATTTAAAAAATTCAAGATGGCGGCGGTACGCTAAACGCTGATGTCACATAAATTTGACATGTCCTGTAAAAAATGCAAAATACAATCCCATTCAGCGCCCTACAATTTCATAATTATACATTCATTTGTTTCAAAGAAAATATTTTGTTGCCAGACTTTTTCGCTACCCTTTATACATAAGTGTCAGAATTTTTATGGTGACTGTAAAGGTATCATTTAGGAACGAGAGATTGAGACAGGCAACAAGCGACCGCATAAGGAGACCTCTAGTCTTAACACATGAAAAACATTTTGGACAGCGCGACCGATGCAAGAGAGGCGACAGCACTTTTAACATGGCAGTGTTTGCTGCGTGCTACCTGTCGCCTGTCGTCTGTCTCGGTCTCGCGTTCCCAAATGGTACTTTAAGAGGTTATCTCACATCAGAGAAAGTATACTTGAAAATTGTGTTTCTGGGCGGAACTTTTCTCGAGCGCCAGATTATTTAAATGTGGTTAATTCTACAACTTTTCGATATAGTATTAAAAGGGCTTAGATAGCACCAGATGGAGGTACGAGATATTCCAGGGGTCTTTGATTTAAAAAGGTAAAAATAATAGGAACCCCTATTAATGTGAAACACTCAACAGAACGGAATCTATCTGTAGGTGATTGCTAGAGCGGAACTTAACTCAAACAGATACTAGATAGTCAAGGTTTCGGATTTCAATGTAAGTAGGTCGGTGTTTAATGACAGGTCGTAGACCGGTCCTCGACTATCAATCGTCGACAATAAGTTTTGGACTAGTTTATGTATTGTTCCAAGATTGTTGTTCGAACAAACCTATAATAACCTCGGTCTCTGTCCGTCTGTCACAGACATTTTGCTACTAGATTTACACATTTTAAATTCGAAACAGTTGAAGTAAGTAGTGACGTTAACTGTATAAGTAGATTTTTCTCTTGGGGATCAGTTTTGGTTGGTTAAATTGAAAGTCAGAAAAAAATTCTGATTCCATCTTGCTAAATGTTAAATAAAAGCTCTTTAAAGCACGATTTCAAAAATGTATTATACATTCGTTTGCATTACTTTTTCGAAAAATTCCTTAAAAATTGATGTCTTCCAACTTAACTATAACTTCATTTTGAACATTAAGATAGTAAGTTCTCAAAAATGTAACAAAAGTATGACCTTCAAAATCAGTGAACCATAGACGTATAACATTTATTCCAGTTGCTTCAAATGTTCTAAAATGATACACACACACACACACACACACACACACACATACACACACACACACACACACACACACACACACACACACACACACACACACACACACACACACACACACACACACACACACACACACACACACACACACACACACACACACACACACACACACACACACACACACACACACACACACACACACACACACACACACACACACACACACACACACACACACACACACACACACACACACACACACACACACACACACACACACACACACACACACACACACACACACACACACACACACACACACACACACACACACACACACACACACACACACACACACACACACACACACACACACACACACACACACACACACACACACACACACACACACACACACACACACACACACACACACACACACACACACACACACGCACACACACACACCCCCACGCACGCACGCACGCACGCACGCACGCACGCACGCACGCACGCACGCACGCACGCACGCACGCACGCACGCACGCACGCACGCACGCACGCACGCACGCACGCACGCACGCACGCACGCACGCACGCACGCACGCACGCACGCACGCACGCACGCACGCACGCACGCACGCACGCACGCACGCACGCACGCACGCACGCACGCACGCACGCACGCACGCACGCACGCACGCACGCACGCACGCACGCACGCACGCACGCACGCACGCACGCACGCACGCACGCACGCACGCACGCACGCACGCACGCACGCACGCACGCACGCACGCACGCACGCACGCACGCACGCACGCACGCACGCACGCACGCACGCACGCACGCACGCACGCACGCACGCACGCACGCACGCACGCACGCACGCACGCACGCACGCACGCACGCACGCACGCACGCACGCACGCACGCACGCACGCACGCACGCACGCACGCACGCACGCACGCACGCACGCACGCACGCACGCACGCACGCACGCACGCACGCACGCACGCACGCACGCACGCACGCACGCACGCACGCACGCACGCACGCACACACACACACACACACACACACACACACACACACACACACATTGCCTGAGCTTTGTGGACCATAGATATTTAGACCATTATTCTCATGTCGGCTTTTTCTATATTTCTTTAATACATTTAAAAGATTCAGAAGAAGGTGATGTTGACTAGATAGATTCGGTATTGGTAGCGCTGCAGATCAGTTGGACTCCAGGCCAGAGTTGACAACTGGACAAATGAATTTGCGACGAAACAATTAAAACAGAATTGTATTTTCAGTAAAGCCCCAAAACTGCTTTTGTTGAACAGGTAGGGGAACACCATCTGTGATTTCATGCATATAAATGCGCTCGTCTTTGTATCTTCATAAGCTTTCTCCTGTTTTTAGTAACAGTTCTAAATAGCTATCGAATATTAAATCTACTCTATTATGCCTTCCCTTCAGTTTCCTGATAATGAGGTTACAAAACTCACTGACTAAATCGTTAAAAGCTTAAGATTTCCAGTAAAGGCTCATAAATCGTAAGAATTTTCATCTCGGGGGGCCATAGCCCCCCCTGGAGCCGCCCTTGCTATTAAAGAAAATTTAACATTGCTTGCTGATAATGTAAAATGTTCATTACCAAGAGTTTTATAGAGCTCTTCTAAAATACTGGATGTATTTGTTTCTTTTTTAAGCACATCTTCTTCGAACAAAATGTTATAATGAGTCAAATGTTAACAACGAATTTATATTATACTTTTTCCCTAGTCAAAGGTACGTCGACACTCGTAATTTTGTTTGACATAAGTCCTGAATTGTTTTTAATTTACACTAGGTGTAGTTGTTTTAAATTGTGGTAGTTGTACCTTACTAATATATGCGGAAAACTTTCATACACTTGCCAGCCAGTTTCAAACACATCTAACAAAGCTTCTGTGTTACAATATTCCGTAACTAAAATATTAGTCCGATCAATTTTTCCTGTCTTGTACTTATAATGAGTTTTTAATTCATAATTATTGTTTTTCAAAAAAATATTCTCTTTTTAAAGTTGATTATTGCTAAAATTTCACGGTAAACAAGATCCCAAGCTGCTACAAAATCTTTTTTACGAGTAGATCCAATTATTTCTGATGAGCTTTTCTTAAATCTGTTGAATGTGTATTCCTTTTTTTGATGTGTACCAATTGATGTATATGGCATACCTTATTGCTAAGTTTAGAAAGGGGTTCTGTGGCGGTTTCTTCTAATAACAACATGTCGTAATTCATTAACACGTCCTACATACTTTGTATAAATGCTGCTCTTGGGGCCATGTTTTTTTACTTGCCACTTTTCCACTCACTACGAGTGCGCACTAGTCCTTTCCTAAAATAATATGGGGATCATTACCGATATAACTGTCAAAAATGTATAACCTTATGCTCAATCTTCAATGTAAAGCTCAGGAATCAATATTTTACACGGAACATACATATTTTCCATATTAATATACGATTCAAATTTCCATATTTTTGATTGGTAACAAATCACCTCAGGGAATACCAAAAATCGTTGGACAAAAACAGAGAGATATTGCGAAGAAATCGAAGATTTCCCACAGCCATCGAGACTTCAAAAAGCCATCTCAAGAGATCCTCACCGCAGTATTGGTGCGCTTATCAAAGAGGATGGCATGAAAACTGCAAACCTCGAAGACAGCATCAAACTTCTGCTGTCAACACACTTACCTGACTCAGTCATCACAGATGTGGCCGACTGGGCAGAGGAAGAATACACTCCATTTGTCTACGATTGGCAAACTGCCAAACACATTGTAGAAAATGACAAAATTAGATAGGCAATATCTAGCTTCTCTCCATTTAAATCATCAGGACCTGACAGTATCTATCCAGCCCTACTTCAGTGGGTTCTGAAAAAACTCACAACGTACCTGGTAAGTATACCACAACAACACCACTACACCCAAATCA